GCTTCCCCATCCGCGGGGGTAGTGCGAGTTGGCGAAAAGAAGAAGAAGACGACGACGGCGACGAGGCGAAGAAAGTATGAGGGACGAGGTGAAGATGGACGCGAATCGGCTGATCGCCGAGGTCTACAAACGGCCGGCGCTCTGGAATCAAAGGCACATCTCCTACCATAATCGCGAGGTGACCAACCGCGTCTGGATGGAGATCGCAGCGATATTCAATCTGCCCAGTACGTGTCATGTAAACACTCCATCCCCGATTGGTACCGCAGGACCCGACTTATCGCGAGCCGCGATAAGTAATCGCTCGCCAGCGACGCAAACGCGCTGCCCTACGCTGCCCTACGCTGCCCAGACGCCAGTCGTCTTTCGCCCATGCGTCGCTCACTCGTATCAGTCCGTTCCTCTTGGTTCCTCTCCTTCGGCGAGGATGAATACGTCCTTTACGTACGTGATCGCGATGATTGTGGCATCGAAACGAGTCTGCCGAACGAGCAAGTCGTCAGGTCGAGAAGGATACGGCAATCGCTCATCTCATGAATGACTTATGAATCCTTAAAATTGCCTATCCGACTCGGTCGTCTTGGAGAAACGCGGCGTTTAAATCCTTATTTTCATTTTACGCAAATATTAACGCGCTTTAAATAAACGCGCTAAAATAATGCCTTTCCTACGTCACAACAAAAAAATCAACAAAAAGAGGGAGAGAAAGTAAGAATCTATTTGGTGATGTCTGGATCATTTTCGGCGTGTTTCTGGTCGAGTTTTTGTTAAAAAGTATTCGATATTACAATTTTTCATTATATAGTTGTTTTAATACTTAAAGAAGTCTCTCAACGCAATTTTGACATTTCATGCTCCACTCCGTCGAAAAAGCAAATACAGAAGACTATCACAGCGCATCTCTTTTTCGACATCAAAACGTTATGTTAGGCTAATATTCTAAATTATAACATTCTATCGCCGTACACATCTCAAAATGAAATATTCTCTCCGGCTCGTCGATCTATCTCGCCATCATCCAAATTCAAAGACACGTAGCGGATTTCCTTACCGGGACACGCAGGTTTCAAAAGGAAATTCTGCACCTTGTGAAGTTCGTCGTAGATGCGAATTAAATATTTGACTTACTTTTATTCTAGAGGTTTATACTGTTTTATGTTATTCTAAAGTACAGTTCTCGAGATTCGCAAGTTTCATATATGCATGTTTATTTGACGTGTTGACATAACGTGCATCGTCCTAACCTCATTCCACGCGCGAACCGACGCGAAGTGCGCCACGAATGATTACGTCAATGCCGCGCGATATACCGTGGGGGACATCTTACCTGAGGTATCCCAGTGCACGACCGAAACGAGATTTCTTATCGTGCTTCGATCGTAATATTAATTGAATTGTAAACGGTGAACCGACGTGAATACACGCACATGCATAAATCGTTTGGTCGAGGACGCATGTGCAGAATAACGCAAGGATGCGTCGATGCGCGCGCACGAGTGCAATCAATACGCGGTCTCTTTGTATATCATAGATCTTATCATTATGGATCCATAAATAAAGAAAAACTAATCACTCGGTGAGTAGGCTGCATTCCGAAACTAATCGAAAAGAAAGTGTTGCAACCATGAATATACATACTGTTGTGTTATCAAGGTTGCGGTCCACTTGCTTCTTCCAAATGCTCTGAACACTACGCTCTAAACGATATGCTTGGATTGGTCCATTATTGTTCCGATGCTACAATCGCTACGTGAATCTTTCAGCCAAATCACCGAGGTGAGGCAGTTGGAATGGAAGTGGGAACGGAAATGATGACGTATTGATGACATATGAAAATTACTGGGAGCATTTCAAAGGTGCGTTCGGAAAGCTCACTGTCACGCGGTAAACACGAATGCTGCGAATTCGATCATCTGTTCGGGGAGTTAAGATAGCGTTAGCGACTACCAGCTCTATGAATAACACTAGCGCAACGTTAACGCTTTTTGATCTCAATTAACACTAGGAGTGCATTCGGGGGGTACGCTATGAATGCAAATAACGCTACTAATGCTGTTCATAAAACCAATAACACGATAATGTTAGCAAGCTCCATGAACAACAAGCCGCAAGCGTAGTGTCAGTAGCATTCACAGGGCGATATTTATAGTTCATTCTTATATTAAGACCGTCTTAAGATACTAATACAGCCTTCTGATTGGTTTATGGCACCTTAATACTGTATTAAGAGGATGCTGGAAAGAACTTGATGTCGACAAAATCGATTTTTATTCAAGAAACCTCCATTCTATTACGAGTATAATCTTCAATGCAAATGTAATTGTAAGAATTGTCGTTAGACATGTGTCTTTGTCAGTTTAAAGATCAAGTGATTTTACACAGATATCTTACAGACGTCTTGAGGACATCTCTATGACATATCTGAAAGATATCTTGATAATAGCTTCGATCAGGATGTCTCATGTCTGCATTTTGCATATATTGTTTTTTGGATAAGTTTGGAGTTATAAAAAAATTATTAAAAAAAATCTGTATTACTGATACATTAATCAAGTTCGGCCATCGCTCCAGCATTCTTTTAAAGTGCCGACGAATTATTGAATCTCCACTTGCAAAGCGAGCTCATTACATATGCTGTTAACATGTTGTTGCGTCTGCAACATCACTGAATAAGCCTTCGTTTGTCTATTTACAGAACCGATGCTGAAGGCAAAGTGGAAGGGCCTGCGTGATACGTTCCGTGCTGAGTTAAAGAAGGATCAGGTGTACCGCAAGAGCAAGTTTCATCGAAACCGGCCGGTATGGATACACTTCAAAAGCTTGCAATTCCTCAAGGAACAAATGCTGCCGCGGCCGCCAATCTGGGAGCGCAGCATCCCGAAAACGGAAGACGAGCTGCAGCCAAGCGAGGGCGAAGGCGAGAACGGCATGTTGACTTCAAGCATCGACGGCGGCCTCGACGATCGAGACACAATCGCCGATCATCTGTTGTCGATGGCCGGCGACGGTAATATCGGCCATCATCATCATCACCACCGTCACCATCATCAGCATAAGCTGGACGGTAGTGACGGTCGACGTGGCACAGTGGACGTGAAGCGCGAACCCGAAGAGAGCTTCGACAACTTGGAGTTCCAAAACGTCACCGACAACTTGGCGGAAAATGAGATGATGCTGCAGAATATTTCGCCTGAGCAGGTGCTGATGAGTGACAGTGACACCGGTCTCGCCGGCGTTGATCCGCTCGAAGGCAGTTGTCGTTTCGATGACAATTACTACTTCCTGATGAGCCTATTACCGCATATCCGTACCCTACCGGCCGACCGCAGGATGCTGCTCAGAATGCAGATGCAAGAACTCGTTTACAAGGAAGTCTACAATAAGGCTACCGACGACGAGTCAACGGCGAAGACTTAACTGACGTCGCTGCGCTAAGTTAACTGTTGGGACTCCTTTTTCTCGCTGTAATGATATCATGTCGCGATGTTAAAAAACGAGTCATGTGGATTTTTCTTCATGTATATGCCGATACCAAAGTTAAATTCGCTTTTTTTTATACACCGTCGTTTAGTGTCATAATTTAGGACTGCGTTCAAAAACTTCGCCCGAATATATTTAGGTATCATTTTATTCTTCTTTAACATTCGGTGAACAACAAGGATAAAATGATGTATCCTAAATTCCTGAACGCATCCTGTGTGATTGTACGGAGAAGAAGTGAGAGCCTCAAAGTTTTTCGTTTAAACGATTTTTTAGGGAATAAAGAATACTTATTTTATGTAAATATACAGGATGTTTTAGAAACACCTAGCCAAATTTTAGAACGTATAGTCACAATACAAATGGTGAAACAAAAAGTAATATAAACATGAGTCCGCATTGAGAAAAAAAAATAGTTTTGGTAACACTATAAATTAACAACTCTAAATTTAAGTACTTGCAACTAATTTTACAAAGTAATAAGAAGTAAAGTAGTACTTTTGTAGTATTCAGTACTACTTTAGTTCTTATTATTTTGTAAACTCTCGATAAAACTAATTGCAAGTACTTAAATTTTAGAGTTGTAATTTATAATTGCCAAAATTTTTTCTCTCTGTGCGGAAATACTTTCTTTCCGAGTAAAATATTTTTTATTTATGACAGAAATAGGTAAAAACATTTTGCTAAAAAAAAAAACTTCTATAGCAATGCATGCTTTGCATCAATATTTCATGGATTATCGAAAATATTAAGAAATTTTAAAAATATTTTAGATTTTCACGTGAAGCGGTAATAGGATTTTGGACAGCTCACAGTGGCGATAGGAGTATCATAAACAAAAATATTTTGTTAAACAACAAATTATTATTAAAAAATTATGCTGCAAACAAAAAACATTTTTGAAAGAAAGTATTTTCAAATTTGTTTATGTGACTTGTTTCCATTCTTACTGAATAGAATGCGCCCTTAAAATTTGGCCACGTGTTTTTGTAACATCTAATAAAAATGAAAAATCTTTATTCCTCAAAAAGCGGCTATAAAATCTTTAGAAGACGAAATATTTAATTTTTTTTTCCCCAAGCAACACCGATCAACACGAGCTACTGAAACCGTTAAAAATACCGTATTAAAAAAACCTGATAAACAACTTATCGTATAAAAAAAAACAGACTATTAAATTTTAGCACAAATTTTTAATATTTTTCTATAGCAATAACTCAGCGAACAATCACGATATTGAGATGAACCAAATCAAATTAAAACTTGAACATTCGTCTTTAACGTTCACTTGTAATACATTTTGTGTAATACAT